CACAGGTAGATTTTACTTGGTTTTATCCATGTAAAACACTCTACTTTTTAAAATCATCCTCTTTTGGGAATTTTGGTTATTAAAATTATAATAACACTCTTTTGTGCTCCTGCTGTTCTTTTTCACTGACAGGGATCAAGGACAGGCTAGTTGCTTGCACATCACTTTAGCCTGTCCCTACAGTTACCATTTTTATACAGGAAATAAATCTTAAAGTTTCCTGAAAGAATGGGTTGCAGTTGTTGATCTTCCCCAGAAAGGATTTAGAAACATTGACTATTGCTAAAATTGCTTTGTGGAATACTTTATGCAACTTTTTATGCCCTGAAATGAAGGGCTGGGGAAGGGAGTCCTTCATCAAGGTGGTCCAGTCCCAGGGCTGCTCTGCACTGCATCTGCCAGAGACTCCCACGGTGAAAGGATAGGAGATGGGAAAGCAACTGAGGCAGCCAGAGGCTCCCACCGGTCCTACAGTATGCCCAACATTCAGTGGTACATGGGGGAAAAAGCAGTCTGGGTTTCATGCTGCCTTTGTATTTCCAGATGAGTCCTCAGGCTAGAGGTGTTGTTCTTAGCTGGCTAGGTGAGTCAGCTGCAGGTCTGCTTTGCACTGCTGAAATGGCTTGAAGCAAACAGGGAGCAAACACTTCACATGCGAGCTCTTCTTTTTGCTGTGTGTTATCAGTAAAATGCTGCTGAGGAGAGGACATCAAGCAGTGGGGATGGCTTTGTACCTGAGAAAACCACACTAGGATTTTGAGGGAAAGATGAGTCTTATTGCCAGCCCTGCAACTGCTGTCCTGTTGAGATGTGAGGCAAACTGCTTAAACACTGTGCTACCCTGAGTTTTCTTTCACCCGCCAAAGGGTGATAGCAAGATAAATTTGCACTGAAGCAGTGGCCTTGACTTTCAGATCATCCAAAGCTGCCCTTGGAGATATGGGTGGGGTGGCTGCAAGAGCAAGTTTCACCACTCTGCCCGTATCTCCCTGGCTGCAGGATTTTCAGAGGCCAGGATAGCTGAGCATGGTGGTGCATCACATTTACCCACATACGGAAAATGGGGATGTTGTATGATATCGTGTCATCTGACAGCATCTGCTGCTGGTACTACATGGTGTGCCATCTTGTGTTGTTTTCCTCTGCTGGCATTCATCAAGCTTAGCCTTCCAAGCATTTTGCAGGAAATATGTTTAATTGAACTTCCCACTTTTTTTTTTTTTTCCCCTGGATAATTACCCTGCCTTTATGGTGGACACACTTGACAGTTCTGCTTTTACTCTCAAGGAGTTTTTGATTTAAGAAACCTATATTTCACTTGGAGAAGCAGCCCCTCAAAGCCAAAACAAAATCCTAAACCTAGAGGAGACCTAACAGTGGCATGTTTATTCAAGAAATACTCGGTTGAAATGTAAAGGAAATTTGAGCATTTCTCTTGGTCTTAAGGTTTATACAGACTTATTTCTCAATGCCCTCGGGGCAGCATTCTCTGTTCCTCCAAGTGCACTTTTCCCTGTGTTAGGATGTCAGCCGAATTCTGCCTCCTGGCAGGAGCGAGGCTGTCAGGCACAGGGCAGGGGCAAGGGGACGAGGAGATGTCAGTTTTGCTGCACCAGATGCTGTGCAGGCGTGAGCTGGAGCGGCGGATGGGACCTCTGATACTGGTAATCTCCTCTGCAGCTGGGCAGGGAGAGGAGCTGGACTCACCCAGCCTCTGGATGCAGCCTGGAAGTCAGGGCCTGCTCTGACTCCTGCAGCATGTACCTTGGCTAGTAAGAACTGACTTACACATAGCTGTTTTGGCTGAGAGTGATAAGTAAGCATTGCAAGAAATTAAAGTAACTTCTCAATACTGTGATCTAAAGCAGAAGACACTGGCAATGTCTAACAAGAGTAGAAAAAAACTGATGTTCTAGTTAATCTTTACCTCCCCTTTTAATGCCAACATTTGCTTTGGTCTCCTCACTTTAAGACATCATTTTATCCTCAAGCTGCAGCCTTCATGTAAGCTACATATCCTGTTTGTCTTCTCTCCTTGATCAGCTTTAATAACCATCTCTGATATTCGAACTGTAGGTAGGGGAAGAGTTGTCCTTCTCCTGGGACTGCAGCAGGTGACATTCCTGTCAGCAATATGGCTGTGTCACCCAGTGAGTGCATTTAATGGAACTAATGATACAGAAAATACCATCACTGAACAACTTCTTGTGTATGCACTGTTGTTACTGGTATTTAACAATGCAGCGTAGGAGCAGAGAGGTGTGTGAGGATGTGTAGGAGATGAAGAAAGTCTTCTTGCTCCTTATCATGTTTACCATCACTGCTGAGAATTGCTGTCACGATATCCAGAAAGTGCACAAACCATGTGCACTCTTAGGAAAACAGCAACTTGGTACTTTGGTTGTACAAATAGAGGAGATGGGACGAAACACAGAACGCAGATGGAAAGAAACACAGAATGAAAGGGTTATCTGTATCACTTAAGCAAAGCAGTAACATTTGAGGGAGTCATTTTACTCATAAAAGTGGTTTCTACTAGGCAAAAGTTATATCTACTTTCCCTTTCACTGGAATGAACAAATGAAAACTTCTGCTCAAGATTTCACATGCAGTCTCAGACCGCAGTGGGTTTTGACATCTGTAATGGCTCATAAAAGTTCAAATGATGGAAAGTTTGAAAACTGCATTTTAATTTCTCTTGCCCAGTGATAGCCCAGACTCAATTCCTAAGCTGTTAAAGACACAGAACTTTAGGCTCTTTCATAAACTTTGATAGTTACTGTTTTCCAGTTATTACCTGACTTTTTTTAACCTACAGCATTAACGTAACATGCACTGATTCACTTTTCATTAAATTTTTTTCTGTAAAAGAAGAGGTGCTTATAACGTAAAAATGTGTGATTTAAAAATTCATCACATCTTTTCCCCGAGCACTAAAATCCCGTTTTTCTTTCCAGCGTGAGATTTAGAATACTCGCATTATTTGCATTTCCATGCTTCTAGGGCAGATTTGAAATGCTGAAGTGAACACAGATCCAGTTTCCCTGGCCAGTCCTCCTGTGCAGGGTCTGCCTGAGCACCTTGAAGGTAGGAAATGCAGGGAGGGGGGTCAGAAACGTGACGGAGAGGTGGCCTGAAGCTCTTCAAGGAGCGTTCCAGAGGCTTTAGCCACAGGTGAATTAGATGTGAGCTGCCAGCCTGTAGAGAACACCGGTTGAAACGACAGCAACATATGCAAATATCTGTGCAAACAAGGCCTGAGGTTGTGAACTCTGGGCCTAACCTACGGCTGGTTTATATGAATGCACATCTGAGCTGAAACCGTGGCAGTCTTCTACTGTGAACATAAACGTTCTGAGGGCCAAGCTTGCAGTGGACAACTGCAGTTCAGTTCTGGGTTTAATTCGATGCCTGAAAGCAAAGATATTCATGTAAAGATGTGAGACACCTGCAGCGCTGTTAGATTTACTGACACCTTTACAGCTGCAGGTTGGCAGTTGGAATAGGGACAAGGATGAAAAAGGTGAAAGCACTTTGCACTGAATTTATTTTTAATGACTTCTCTTCATTGTGTTTGTTTGTTTGTTTTCATAAAGTAAGAACCCCATAGCCAAACAATTGCACTTTCTAATGCCTACTGTCTGGTGGGGTAAGCTGCACGCAGCTGTTCTGTCAGTCATCAGTTTGGCTCTGATGGATCTGTTGGCACTGAAATTTGCACACGAAGCTCACAGGTAGCACTGCACAAGGCCCACTTGGCAGCAGTTCAGCTTGCCGACACAGCCACAGCAAAGACCCCTAAGGTAAAGCTGAAGGTCTGCCTTCTGAATACGCCTGTGTACCTTTCACGTTGGCAGTTTTGGCATTTCCAGATCACCAGAACAGCAGATGTTTTACTTGCAGCCTGAAAGGGAGGATGGTTATCCCTGGGACAAAGCACAGCTCACATCTTTGGAGTGGGCTATGCGTATTCCTGACAGGGGTGCATTTATGTGGGATGGGCAGAGTTAAGGCAAGCTTAACACGGATGCCTCGCAGGCAAAAGAGCTGGTACCTGGGATGCCTCTCCCTCTCCATGCCAATCCCTCTCCATATGAATTCCCTTGCAGACTGAGCTAGGCTACCAGGTCTCTGGCACCAGCCGGGTGCCCCCAGGCCACACCTCGACACTAAGGGTGCCAGCTGCTGACTTCAGGTCCCACCTCCCGAATAGCAGCGCTAAGAGGCCAGGCTTTATTAGCTTAGAAATAGTGTTAATAACCATTTCCTTAAAGAGAAAGCCAGCTCCTCATTGAGGCACTCCTCGCAACCAGTTTTATTTGACTTTTTTTTTTTTCTCCCTCCCATCTTGCTCTCAGGATGGAGAGTTTACACATTGTGAGTGCATAAAACTAAAGTATTTGCCACACAGCTCCGGACTGGCTTTCCAGCCACATCCCTGTGACAACCTGCCTCCATCACCTGTTGAATCTTCCAGCTCACACTGCGGTACCACGACAGGGAGGAGCACACCCCGCTGCGTGCACGCACTCTGTAACCAGGTGCACCGCACAGCCCCCGCTCACACACAACGCGTTCTTGGAATGAGGTTTTGTTCAGCCTGTTTTGTTTCATCTGAGAGACTCCTGACCCCCGCGGGGACCCACAAACGTGCAGGATGAGCACTCCGTGAGGTAAAAAGTAAAGAAAAAGGGGACGGCAGGCAGCCGGCCGTGCCCGGGAGCTGCCTGGCGGCGGCGGCCGTCACCTGGCGAGGTGCGGGGGGGCCTCGCCGAGAGCCGCGCGGCAGCGGCTCCCCCCGCCCGGGGCACCCCGCGGGCCGGGCCGGGATGCTCCGCGCCCCAGGCGGCGACGGCGGCGCGTCCCCGGGAGGGAGCCGGCCGCCACGTGATGCGGTCCTTATCGGGCCGCGCGGGGCAGCGCGGGGGCGGGCCGGGGGCGGGGGCGGCCGCGCAGCGCGGCGCGGTGGGGTCCCGAAGCGCGCCCATCGCTCCCCTGCGGGGAGGCGCGGAGGACGGGAAGTTAGCGCGGAGTTGATGAACTTTGCACATCCCCAGAAACGCCATTTTGATTCCTTTTTCCGGAACAAGTTCGTGGCTCCCCGGCGGGCGCGCTGCCCCCGGCGCCCATCCCGGCGGCATGTCGCGGCGCAAGCAGCCCAGCCCCAGCAAAGTGCGCCGTAAGTACCGCGGGCCGCGCGCAACGCGGCGCTCCCCGCCCGCTGCTCCCCGGCGGCGAGGAGACGAGAGGAGAGCAGGAGTGGAGAGGAGGAAAATAAACTTTTCTTCTTTTTTTTTTTTTCCTTCTCCCCCCCCTTCGGGTGTCCGGGGGGGTGGGGAGGGAGCAGCTCGCGGTGGTGCGAATTTGCAAGCGCTTGTCGGGGGGGAAGGAAAAGTTTCCTTTTAAAAAAAAGGGGAGGAAAAAAGTTTGGCTGCCAGCGGTGGAGATGATGATGAGTTCGTGCAGCCTCCCTCTTCCCTTCCCCCGCTCCTCCCTCTCCTCTCCTCCCTCCGCGGCTCCTGGCTTTTTTTTTTTTTTTTTTTTTTTTTTTCCCCTTCCCTGTTGCAGACTTTCTACCAACCAGCGGCACCGGCCGCGGCGTTCTGCCTTCGGGACCTGATGCTCATCCATATTAAACCGTCTGAGCTCAGGAATCCGGCCAGATCATCCCCCCCTCCCGCTGCAAAGTTTATTTTTAACCAGCCAGCGCCGCGATTGGGATGGGGCTGCGAGGAAGCCACCTCTCGTAGCCCGGCGCCGGCAGCCCCCGGCCCGCAGCCCTTTAACTTCTCCCCGGGGCCCGCCCGGAGGCCGCAGCGAGGAGGCCGGGATGCAGGCGGCCCTCCGCAGGTACCGCATCCCCCCCCCACAACTTTCCGTCCCCCTCCCTCCCTCCTCCCCACCCCCCCCCCCCGCGCCTCCCT